AAAAGTACACATTTTTAAAACTACTTAGTAAATTACAATTTCTGAGAAAAACTACTTAATTACAGTAACTTGAGTATTTGTAGTTAGTTACTTTACACCACTGCATACATGCATGCATACATACATACACATACATACATACATACATACATACATACATGCATGCATGCTTACTATAGAGCCAGATCAGTCTCAAAAATAATAAATTTGCATTAATAAATCCAAAGCACAATTCATAAATGCTCAACTCTAATTCATAAATTCAAAACACAATTATTTGTCATTTTATTTGTGAAAAATATTTAAAATGCTCCCACATATGCATCTTTGACATAAATACATTTAAATTGTTTACACATTATGTGTGTGAGTTTGTGTGTGTGTTCATATATTTATATATATATATATAAATATATAGTTCTCATAATTCGTGGTAAAACTGTCAGATGCGCAGCATGGAGCGAATGAACTTCAGTGTAGGCCTAATATATAAGCAACAGCCGTAAATTAAATAAGCTGAGTAACGTAATATATCAGTAATATTTGCAAACGACTGGATTCAATGCATTTAGTAGCAAATATTTCTGAACTCCACCTGCTGGTCACTACAAATTGATTCACTCCATGAATTTTATGAATGCAAATGTATTATTTTTGAGACTGATCTGGCTCCATAGCTTACATACTGTACATACATACATACATGCATACATCTTTACATGCATGCATACATACAGTACACACATGCATGCATACTTCACCTTAAAATTATAAGGTTTTATCTCACATAAGTATTCTATTTGACATTAAGTTATAAACATATTCGTATTAAATGACTTTTTCACATCATGGGATGTTTTTATAAGTTGTCTTTTTTATTACAAACAAATGTTACACACATACTGTTTGCTATATGGAATGCAAAAACTTTGAAGTGACTGACATTTGATGACTGACAAGTAGATTTAACTAATCAGACAGAAATGTGGAAGAAAGAAAGATAGAAAGAAAGAAAGTTGGGATGCTACTGGTGGGAACTGGCATGTAATATACACAACTTAAGCTTAAAAATGCATTTATAATCATTTGAAATATTTTGGAAGAAACATGCTGTGGCTATATGGGCCTGTAAGGTACAGTACCGTCTAAATTGCTAAACTACAGCTTTCTGACATGCAAATGAGTATAATTATTGCAACGTAAGTTAAATATATGGATTAAAATATTTTATTAATAAGCTATTAAGATTCCTCAAAGGAAAGTATTATTGAAACAGAATTAACTCTGGAAGACCTCTTGGAAGGTTAACTGGGGCATAGAAGTGAGGCGTTTAACATCTTATCTAGCTAATTAAAGTAAGGTTAGGTTTAATTAAAAGTTCAACTACCGAAGAATAAGAAGGTAAAAACTTCAGCTCTGATGGAGTGGCGCTTTGAAGAAGGCCAATATTCTTGAAATAAAATGGAAATTTGTCCAATTATGTGCATTACAAAGTGATAATTGCTGTCTGTATGGACTCTAAATGAATGAAAAATAGGGAGGGAGATGTACTTTAGTCTTGCGGATCTGCGTACATTTAAAGGAGGCACTGTGAATCTTGGGAACATTTTTTTTATGTTGTTACAGAAAAAAAATGCTCAAATAAAAGAAAAAAAGGATGACTAAGAATCAATGCATAGCATTGAAAACTGCCTCCGATATTGATATAACTGCAATGGAGTAGCGTTAGATTTTAATGACAAGCAGAGCTGTTCAGTCACAAGGTCAATTAGCAGGTTAACCCAGAAAGCTATTTCTCCATGGATTGTCTCAGGATTTCTAATGGGCTTTTAGATAGCTCTGCTGATTTATGAGCTTAATAAAGTCTGTGGTTAACATTAATTGAATAACTATCCTTTATATATTGCATTTGGCAGAGGTGGCTTACACTGCCTTGAGATGCAAGTGCTTTTTGTTTTCCCTGGAAATCAAACCCACAGCTTTAGGACTGCTAGCACTGTTTTCTAGCGTTTCAGGAGGAAAGTATGTGTTTAAAAAGGCTTAAGTCTGACATTAGTTTTTAATGTCACGTTTGAGCTACTTCAAGTTGTGGAAGACAAAAAAAATATACAAATGCTATTTTTAAAAACTCACTGCACGTGTCAAACAAATTGTTCTTTTTTTTTTAGACTCGGGTTCACAATGCCATGAGGAAAATGTAGTGGACTGCTTTTCTGTAAAATCTGTGAGTCTAATTCTGTCTAATGCACTGTCTGCCAAATGCACAAGCTTTTATTTTTTCTCCTCCCGTTTGTGCTGGTGTGACAGATATGTGCTGGAGTGATGTGGATCCATTAAGCACAGCTACCCAGACTGTGCACAGAATACATGAGCATGCATTTCATCTTGCTGTTTAGCATGAGGGCAGATATCACTTACCAAGAATTTGAGGAGAAGCCTCATGCTCTTGTATGATCACATGTCTAGCCCCAGGAGGAATGAGAAACATCTTTAGGTAACCTTTGCAATGGCAGAAAACAAAGGCAAAGGGAGAGATAGCAGAAGCAATTGGTTAGTTAAAAAGTTCTACTACGAGTCGATCTTTGCAGAGGTGGGCATTACCAGAAGACACATCTAAATTAGTACATCACTAAAGCTTTCACGTTTGAACAGTTGAACAGCTTTCGCATTTGAACAGAACCATTGCAACTGTTCATCAAGCAGGGTCACAACAAGCCTACATGGGACAAACAAAACATGACAGAAGGTTGCTCATCCATTCATTTCATGTATTAACATTTATGTGAATAGATGTCTTTTTCTTCAGATGGTCAAATAACAAAAGTGCAAAGATAGAAAAATAAATGAACACTTTTTTACCTACAGTAACAGCGTTTGTCTTGTTTCTAGCATCTAAATATTCTTGTATTTTTCTAGATAAATAAATTAAAAAGCTAACATTAAATGAGTTTTTTACTTAAAACAAGCTAAACTCCCTGAAGTGGAAAAAGTAAAATAATATATATTTTGTCTAACTTAAAACAATATTATTTTGTTTTCTTAAAGTTTTCTGATGAACAAGAAACAAGACAAACTCTCTAAGAAAGGCATTTTTTTGTTGTTGTTGCTGCTATTTTAGTTAACCTCTGGAGAAAACTTAATTTTTGTAATGTCATATTTAAAAAGGACACTGAATGGTGGCACCTTAAGTCAGTTTACAACACAAGAACACAAAACTACTAAGGCTGCCTTCTCCATGAATGCCCAGTCCTCTGCAAAGCATGCTACCACTCACCCATCACATTTCTAGAATCAGCCGTTTCATTCAGATACACATTCCGAGCTCCTTTCGGCAACAGGAAGGCTCCTCTTGTTTTCCCTTTAGGATAAGAAGTGTTTGTTATGTCATTCTGTCCTGCAGCCGTTGCCTTTGACAACTTTTAATGTCTATAAACCAAAGCTAGACTTTGAATTAGTCTTTAGCGATTTGATGTCTGTCTGAGACATGGCTGTGATTTTAAAAAAGGTGGCTAGGAGTCTAATCATTGCAATGAAAGATTGAGTCACTTAAGGTAGCATCTGCTGGGAAATTTCATCATTGATAAATGTGCATAAAAAGACATCTTCGGAGAAATACAAGGCTGCGGGGTAATCCTAATAGAGTTCATAAGAGGTTATATAGCAGGCCTAAAAGGAACAGGAATAAAGGAATGAGGAATGAGAAAGAGAGATTAAGGAGTAATGGTTGGTGTGTGATGATGAAGATGGTGGGGGAAGGACACACTATGAACAAGAGAGAGAGAGAGAAAGAGAGAGTGAGGTAGTATGGTTTTCAGGTTCATACTAACCTTATTAAATTGACTCATTTTATGTTATTTGCATTTTTTATTGTGTATTTTCATTTACATTTATCATGTAATATTCAAAATTAGAATATTGATATTTTGAAATAAGCTTTTGATGGCATTGTTAAAACATTAAGAGTCAAAGTTTATCCCCAAAATAGAATATTTTCATCATTCCAAGCCTGTGTAGAACACAAAATATATTTTAAAGTTTGTAATGGATCAAACAACCTTAAAGCCAATTACTTTCAGTGTACAATCCAAAACAGTTCTCTCTTTCATTTTATTTTATTTTTTACTGTTCTACAGGAGAAACACCTACAGGTTGGAATGATTGAGGTAAGTGAATAAATGAACTGTCATGTAAAGTAAGAATAGTCTTACTTTAGGAACACTCCACTTTTTTTTTTGGAAATAGGCCAATTTTACAAGTCACCTGGAGTTAAACTGTTGAGTTCTACCCTTTTAGTTTCACACAATTTGAGCTAAGCGCTTTTAGCTTAGCTTGGCATAAATAATTAAAAATGGATTGGACCATTAGCATCTTGCTAAAAAAGCGTTTAGATAACTTTCCTATTTAAAGCTGAACTCTTGTTGTTACAATACATCACAATTGTTTTGTCAGTCTTTGAGCATGATGTAACTGCACAAGTGTCAAGCTTTAAATAGGAATATTATCTTTTTAAAATTATTATTAGTTTTTTTTTTTTTTTTTTTTTTTCAAGATGCTAAAGGTCTAATCTGATTCAGGGATTTATGCTAAACTAAGCCAGAAGTGCTCCTGCCAGACCCGGATATTGGCTCAAAAATGATAGAGCTCTTTTTTAGGTGACTTTTTTAGAGGCTATTTCCAAAAAGTGTGTTCCTTTAAGTGGGTTCAGTTAAGTAGGACCAATCTGTATGTCAATCTTTTGACAAGGTTTCTGAATTTCTATCTCAAGCTAATCTACATGTTGTCTACCACTCTGAAAAAAAACAATGTATTCATCATGTTGTAAAAAAAATAAAGAAAAAAACTTGCAAAGTAATTACGTACAATGGACACTGTACGATGTATCCATTAGGTATGGGCTGGAAAAAGATTCTGACAGTATAATAACCTTGGATAAAAATGGTTTCACGGTTTTATGGTGTTGTGTTTACTGCTCTAAAATATATTATTTTTAAATGTCTGTGTAAAAAACTAAAACTTTTTCCCCTTTGAACACAAAATATTTTATTTTAAGAAACTTCTAAAATATTTTGGAGCAGTAACCATGTCAGGCTATATAATTCAATTGAATCATTGACTTCTGCTGTCTTCGTTTTTTCTTTACAATTTAAAACGGCATCTTTGGATATATTTTCTGCTGTAGATACTATTGCACTAAAAAAAGCTTGATTTTCCAAATTGCGGTATACTTTGAAAATGGTTATCATCCTATGCCTAGTATTCATTTACTAACAATGCAATGCTTGTGATTCATAGGTGATTTCTGTTGTTCTCATTTCGAACTGCAATGATTTAAAAGACTTTGATTTTAACCAATCATTTCTGAAAAAAATGGTAACAGGAGGAAATGGTTAAATTTCTATTTTCAAACAAATTATACGCAAGAACATCAGTATGTGACTGCCCACAAAATCCTCCTTTCAAACAGTAGATCAAACTGAGGAATTTAGTTCATAATGCAGAAGGTTTACACTTGGTGATTAAAACAGATAAAGTTGACTGAATTTTTAAAGAGCGTCAAGAAAAGCATGACCTTCACATGTCTGCTTTTCAATACATTTGCCCCACAGGCATCCATTGTAAGTGCATTACTGAATACAAGTTTTTTTTCTGGGTTATCGACAAAGATGAGGATTCAAACTTGAATCAAAATTTGAATTAAATTTTTCGGTGGTAATGAACAACATTCTTGAGATGCGCTTGAGTTTACTACATATAAACCTCTGAATATTTAGCAAACTGCAAGCTACTGTAAAGACAGAAGTAGAGGACAGAAAGAGGAATGCAGGATTAGATGATATAAGATACTTGCAGATTGTGTTTTCCAACACATGGATTTCTTTTTGGGATCTCTTGGTTAACTTTTTTCCTGTTAAAAAGTGATCAATTGAAAATAAAACAAGGTAGAGTTAGATTGAAAAGAGTCAAAATGCTTTTTAGTTCATGCAATCAATGTGTTAAAAAGTGACAATAAGAGAGTAAAATACCAGGAACTGTCATTAAAAAGTGTGACATGAAGTTCCCAAAATTGTTCATGCTCATAAATTATGACCCACATTTTAATGACATCATGTAAACATCATGCAAATTCTGGTTGGAGCCAGAATGAACTCTAGTTCAGCAATTGAATATTGAATGAATTGAATGCATTCATAACAAGTAGGAATCTGTATCAACAAGGTCACATGCCATGTCGTTCACATGAAAGAAAGGCAACACAACACACACAAACCAATCATTTTAAACACATTTGTCTTGCTATGTGTGGGTGGGCTTCATCATGCATTAAAGAGCCCCTATTATGCATTATAAAAGGTCATATTTTGGTTTGGGAGGTCTCTAACAACAGGCTGATATGCATGCAAGGTCAAAAACACTTTCATTGTCTTATAATATGCATTTATTTTTAGCTAATTATTCTATTGACTCCGATATGATTTGTTCAGCGATTCGTTAGGTCCCAAACCCCTGACCCCAAGCAAAAACAACGACACTCATTCAAGATTAATCCACACAGTGGCAAAAGTTTACTTATTTTGAAAATTGGCTGCACCACACGTGTGCAGGAACAGCTTATGGTTGCTATTCAATTCAATTCAATTCAGCTTTATTTGTATAGCGCTTTTACAATGTAGATTGTGTCAAAGCAGCTTCACATAAATGGTCATTTTAGTGTTTAAGTTCAGTTCAGTTCAGTTTAGCTCAGTTCAGTGTGATTTAATCATTACTGAGAGTTCAAACACTGAAGAGCCAATTCATCGATGCGTAGCTCTACCAATCCTGAACCATGCGAGGCAGTGGCTATAGAAACGACAAAAATTCAGAAATACATTTAAATCACTTAAGGAAGAAGAATGTGTCACATTTTCAATGTGACTTTGGATGCAATATTTGAATCCTCCGAGACACAGTATACAAGCACTGATCTATAATAGATTTGTGATTACAAACCACGCAGAGTGATTACATGTTACAACAATACAATACTATTGTATATCATGCAACAATTTTAACTACACAAACATGTTCTGATCCGAAGAAAGAAGAGACTGGTCTGTATGAACTGTAACAGTTACTGACAAAGTCCCTGTCTGTTAAGTCCCACGTGGGACCTGTTTGTTGTTTGTGTTTTGTGATTTGCAGAGCCAGCATGATTACAGATTGGTGGGTGGGTCATCGGACCTGAGACCCATTATGTGGTGCCTATAAAGAATCCAACATTCTTTCTGAGAGGGAGCTCGACTAGCAGGACGTCTCTGCCTGGCAGTTTTGATTTATTTTAGTTTGTTTTGGATCATGAGCTCCAAAAGCATACTTTTGTTAATTATGCTTTTTGTTAATAAATCATTTCTCTTTTCAGTTTACATGGTCCGTATTGTCTCTCTAATGTTACAATTTTGAGCCGGTTGTAACACTGTCAAAGTCTGATAAAATCCCATACATAAGAGTCTCTGCTGCTCCTTC